GCAAGAGGGGGGTCGCAACTGCAGGGGTTGCAAAGAGTTTTTGCGACGGTAAGTGCCGTCGCTAATGTTTTGCGACGACATTTTTTACCTTTTTGCGACGGCACCGTACAGTCACTAATAACGTTTGAAATTTCTTGACTTTTTTGCGACGGCCCTATTTTAACCGTCGCTAAAAATGTTATTTGAGATGGCAAAAAATACCGTCGCTAATAGTCTTTTTTAAAAAAAACACATATTTTTTGCGACGGTGTGGTGCCATCGCAAAAAGTATAAAAAATCTGAAATTTTCTATTTTTTGCGACTGTTAATGCCGTCGCAAAAAATATTAAAAAATAATAAAATTTTTATTTTAAATAATAAAATTTCTATTTTTTATGACAGTATAATGTCGTCGCAAAAAGTAAAACCTATAACAAAATTAATAAAAATATTAAATTTTTCTATTTTTTCCAACGGTGGTGCCATCTCTCACTCTCTAAGAGCTGATTATTTACATTCCATTCACAAAAACATCATAACATAAAATAAAATAAAAATTGATCACCATCAAATTCAATATTTTACAAAGAATAATTAAACTGTACATGTTCATAAAGCATATTTAAATTATAAAATTCACCCAAATCCTAAAAAAAAAAAATAATAAAATAAAATCTAAAATTCACCATTATTTTCCATTATTTAAAAAGGCCTACAATGAGAACTTTCGCTTTTGGAGATTATAGGGCAGCCCAAATCCAAGCATTCAAAACAAACAATAAGTCTTTCGAAAGGGAAAAATATAAACATGTAGAGGATATTGCATTAGACAAATTGATTTCAACTGCTCCAGTGACGTCTTCCAAGTAGAAATGGCCATCCTCTAACTGAGATATAACGCCCATGACCCATCCTCTAAAGAAGGAAGAACAAGAACCTTTAGATGAACAGCCAGTAGAAACAACAGCAGTGCTTTTCCCGGAAAAACCAACATCAAGTCTGTTGAAAAATGCATAAGCACAAAATCAGTTCCATAGAAAAGGTTTCAGTGTGGACACAATTATGGCTCTACTGTTAACTACCAGGTACATAAAACTTGAAAAAAGGGCAAGGGCTCAGTATGCGTTGCCTTTGGGTTCCAATATTTAACAATATCTCATTCCTACAGTCATGTTTTACGCACTCAAGCGTCATGCAGCTTATTTCACAAATTTCCACTGGGTTACGTAATTAATGTCGATGCTAGTTTATGTAAAGGTTAATTAAAGAATTGACCTCTAAGGGTAACTGAAATGGGTGCTAATAAAAATTGATAGCAAGACATGAGTTATATAAGAAAATTTTGATAGGGAATATATGAAATGATAGAACCACAGTTATCCTGCAAGACTACCTAGAACCAACACAAAATAAAAGCTTACGCACTTTGGTTGTCAGTTGTTCCAAAATTAATCAGTTTGAGCCCTCCATTACGTGCATCCTTGGAATTTTCGAGACCTGCAGACAAAAGCCAAATCCAAGTCAAAAAATAAGAAACTTAAGAGCGCAACTTTTTTGTCAGGATGCAGTGTGAATATGTAATATTGATATTGATGTCATCCAATTAAGACAATTTGTTACAAGTTTTTCAATCTAGTTCAAGGCATTAGGCAGAGAAGAAATCATGCATTATAGAATAACCAATGAACAATGAAATGTGTAATAACCCTTTTTTCCCCAACATCCAACATCCAACATCTATAAAGGACTAACAAATTTGATTGGTGGATTTGTTTAACTGTTATCTGAACTACTTCAGCAGAGGTACCTGGCCAAGTGGTTCATTACTTAAAAATAGTTAGATTCCTATCAGTTCCACCTTACATGTTTTTTAAACTACAAACAGGGAAATGTGTTTTAAATAACACACTCATCGCACTCAATATGACTAGTTGATCTGAGAATTTACAAAAACAACTCTCTCCCTTTTAAGTGTTTGCAATCCATGATTTGTTGTTCCTTAATAAACATAATCAGCTAAGCAAAATAGATACTTCCAATTGACATCATTGCATAGAAACTCTGTCTGAACAACTAACCCATAAATAAACCACCAATCTATAGATCAATTTGGCTCCTTGATCTTACCAGAATCTAGCATGCATTGTGACCAACCCAAAAACCAACAACATCTGGGTATATGATAATGAAATCCAATGTGACTCCGACACAAAGTGTCAATCATTTAGATCTAGAAGTTTGCACTTTCATAATTGATTTTTGACAGTGAAGCAAACATTAAACCATAATCAACTGCAAGTGAACTCCTAAAATTAGTCTAGTTCCACCCAGCTCTCTCGGTATGGATTACAAGACTGAAGATTCTCAAGGTCAATTTACAGAAGAAGTGAATTAAAGTGTCAATTAATTAAATACACATCTCTAAGAGATTTCTCCAACCACTAACGTAAAGTCAACCATCTTTGCTCTAGCACGCCTCTTAGACATGGTACTTTTTTTTCAGCAATAAGAACAAAATGACAATGTATCAACAATTGTATGTCAACTAAACCAACTCAATTACAAATCCCATTATTACTTTTGCCTTCTATGCTATAGTTGGCTCTCTGCTAGACAAAAGGTGGTTGTAAAAGCAGACATTAACCTCTCTCAAAGTCATAAAGCCCCCAAAGCTGTTTCAGTCCCACACCACATATATAGACAAGTTTTATAAAAAAAACAGATATTGACCTCTCTATTTGAATTAATTTCAACTCCAAAATAAAATAATCCGATTTTGTGGTGCTTGCAGATAGGAAATCCACTTTTGGAATTCAACACTGATTTCAATTCAAGAGCTGAATACTTGTGGTCTCATGGGCTGATATCAGATGCTCCTACGAAACTATTCACAAATGTCTACAACTATTCTAGATTAGAAGGCAGTCCAAACTGACACTCTTTACCCTTATTTTTGTTTGGAGTAAACAATCAAGTTTCAAGAGAGATCAGTAATTTATCGACAAATATGATGTCACTCTCGATGTCCTGTCATCATCGTTGGTTCACAAGCACAGGTTCTTAATCAATTGGTAGGCCTAGATCTCCAGCTCTCCTATACTTGTTTGTTTCTTTATCTTTAGGAAATCTTGTTTTCCTCTTCTTTTACTGTGTTAATCAGTCTTGGCTCCATCTATATCAATCTTCATTTACAGCAAGATACAAAGAACATAGATGTCTATGTAGAAGATGAAACGGTTACTTACTTGAACTGGGAAGATGTACAGAAAGCTTCCCATGCGTGGCTTGTTGGAGTCACTGCATGGAGTGTTTACAGCACGTAATAATCCTCATCTTGTTGCAGAAAATGAAAAAAAGAAAGAAAGAAAAAAATAATTTCAACACATAATCATATTCGGAGTTCCCATCTTATATAAGAATCAACAAAAAATTTTGAATATATAACACGAATTGTGTAGCCTCCACAGCCTAGTTGAGAAATGGGTAGATTAGATTGAATGGGATCTGCCAAGGCAGTGTTTAAATCATGGATTTAGCTTATATTTCATTCACATTTCTCTTTCCCTATTCAAATCCATGATCCAAACACAGTCTAAGTGAAATATTTAAAACCTTTGTGTTTTCATATCTGTGTGTTTTACTCTATTGCCAACAGTGTTTCTCCATTATGAGAAGAAAAACTGAGATACAACAATTCATGTACTGGGTTCACTTGTCAAGTCTGGTATTCGGGTCTTGGAATTGAAAACCACTGTTCCATACAGAGTTTGGTTTGAAGGGAGACTAGTCACTGGATGGACACAGTATATGGTGATATACTATCTTTTGCCACCATTAAAGGAGCTGCGCATGAAGCTCCATTTTCACAACCAGAGAGATTGCTTGTTCTTTTTAATTCATTTTAGGTGGAAATCCACCACCAGAGGCAGTACTGTCTGCTAAGAGCATATAAAATTAAGCAATTCAGTCATGTTCTGTGATTGTATTGAGTAAGAAGATGATATCTGTTCTTGCCAATGAAAAACCAAAAAAGGAGGTACAATTGTATTTTTGTAATAATGCATCAACCTCTCACGTCCAAGGAGATCAATTGATTAGACAAAAAGCATTGTGAATGATTCACTGCAGTGTAAACAGCTAGGCTCATACTCTATACAAAATGTAACCCTAATCCTATTAAATTTTTCCGAATGATCAATCAAAATTTTCAATTTTTGTTTGTTGCAAAATAACAATGTCAAGGCAATGTCTAGTCAATACTTAATTATTGATTAGAGTTCAAACCTTTTCTCTTGGACCTCACTCTTCTCACATTCCAACTCATTATTTTCATTTAGAATTCTCTCTACCTTTCACTTCCCTAGAACAACTATCACAATGAACCTCACAAACCAAATTTATCAGTTCCCTAAAAGCCCCTTTCTTCTACCCTTACTTTCCCTTTCCCTCTAAAACTGACCCTCCAATCTTTTCCACCCTTCTCACTATTAAAACATACAAAAGACAAGCCAATCTTATCTACAAAATACCCAACTAGACCACCCTTTCGTTGTTAAGGGAAGCGATAAATCACACCTAAATTCTTTAGGCCATCCTCGTTTGACCTAACATCCCTACACTCCCACCTTGATACCAAAGTTCCCATTTCCCTACAGTTTAGCTGTGCACTCGTGATGGTACACTGCATAGAGACCACAACCCACTCTGTTGATTGAACACACAATAAAAAAATACAGTCCCCACTATGATGCTCAAAAGAATCAAAGGATTTGGCATTCAATTTCCCTTGTAATTATTCAGATGTGCTTGTATATAGCCTCTCTAAGTCTTATAGTTTTATTCCCTGATATCAAGCATACTGTGATGGAACACATGATGCACTCAAACCTCGTGACTATAAAATGACTATGGGCAAACTGAACGATAGCAGTCTTGTAGCGTGCACTGTTTTAGAAATTGTAATACTAAAATGATATTATAGTTCATGGACTGTTATGGTGCACAATGAAAGTCAGGAAACCTCTGAAATTAAAAACGTAAGTGTGCTATATGACAAAGGACACCAAGTACAAGTTAAAGGAGATCTCTTTTACAGTGTCCGGCTCCATTTCAGATGGTGACAGTAATAGATCAAAGCAGTGCCCAGATATTGTACAAACCAAAAGCACATTTGTAGGGTCCAAAACAGCTTCTCTGCATGTATCATCACAAACTGCATGAACAAAGAACATAAACCAATAAACTTCAATCAAGTTATGTATAAAAATCTATGCAATTGTACCAAATTTACAAACAAGCAAGGTTGCTATATTCAATAACCACAACTAGTGATGCATACCATGGACCTGTCCGGTCTTCTCACAAACGAATACATCTCCAATTTGATAATAAGAACATGTTTCTCCAGAGCAATCATGATTGGGGACCACCTTATCAGTTAGGCCTCTGCTGCTTTTCCATATAGATACTTGATCAGCAACAGTCTTATCAAGAATAATCTGGTCATCATTCACCTTTAGATACACAAGAAAAATAAATGATAAATGAAGGAAATGCCTTTGTCTTATTGTTATGAGCCTCATTTAAAGAGAGATCAGTAAATTTATCCCTATTTGTTCTGGAGTAAACAATCAAGTTTCAAGAGAGATCAGTAAATTTATCGACAAATATGATGTCACTCTCGATGTCTGCTCATCATCCGTTGGTTCACAAGCACAGGTTCTTAATCAATTGGTAGGCCTAGATCTCCAGCTCTCCTATACTTGTTTGTTTCTTTATCTTTAGGAAACTCTTGTTTTCCTCTTCTTTTACTGTGTTAATCAGTCTTGGCTCCATCTATATCAATCTTCATTTACAGCAAGATACAAAGAACATAGATGTCTGTGTAGAAGATGAAACGGTTACTTACTTGAACCGGGAAGATGTACAGAAAGCTTCCCATGCGTGGCTTGTTGGAGTCACTGCATGGAGTGTTTACAGCACGTAATAATCCTCATCTTGTTGCAGAAAATGAAAAAAAGAAAGAAAGAAAAAAATAATTTCAACACAATAATCATATTCGGAGTTCCCATCTTTATATAGAATCAACAAAAACATTTTGAATATATAACACGAATTGTGTAGCCTCCACAGCCTAGTTGAGAAATGGGTAGATTAGATTGAATGGGATCTGCCAAGGCTGTGTTTGAATCATGGATTTAGCTTATATTTCATTTACATTTCTCTTTCCTTATTCAAATCCATGATCCAAACACAGTCTAAGTGAAATATTTAAAACCTTTGTGTTTTCATAATCTGTGTGTTTTACTCTATTGCCAACAGTGTTCTCCATTATGAGAAGAAAAACCTAGAGATACCAACAATTCATGTAATGGGTTCACTTGTCAAGTCTGGTATTCGAGTCTTGGAATTGAAAACCACTGTTCCATACAGAGTTTGGTTTGAAGGGAGACAAGTCACTGGATGGACACAAGTATATGGTGATATACTATCTTTTGCCACCATTAAAGGAGCTGCGCATGAAGCTCCATTTTCACAACCAGAGAGATTGCTTGTTCTTTTTAATTCATTTTTGGGTGGAAATCCACCACCAGAGGCAGTACTGTCTGCTGAGAGCATATAAAATTAAGCAATTCAATCATGTTCTGTGATTGTATTGAGTAAGAAGATGATATCTGTTCTTGCCAATGAAAAACCAAAAAAGGAGGTACAATTGTATTTTTGTAATAATGCATCAACCTCTCACAGTCCAAGGAGATCAGTGATTAGACAAAAAGCATTGTGAATGATTCACTGCAGTGTAAACAGCTAGGCTCATACCCTATACAAAATGTAACCCTAATCCTATTAAATTTTTCCGAATGATCAATCAAAATTTTCAATTTTTGTTTGTTGCAAAATAACAATGTCAAGGCAATGTCTAGTCAATACTTAATTATTGATTAGAGTTCAAACCTTTTCTCTTGGACCTCAGTCTTCTCACATTCCAACTCATTATTTTCATTTAGAATTCTCTCTACCTTTCACTTCCCTAGAACAACTATCACAATGAACCTCACAAACCAAATTTATCAGTTCCCTAAAAGCCCCTTTCTTCTACCCTCACTTTCCCTTTCCCTCCAAAACTGACCCTCCCATCTTTTCCCACCCTTCTCACTATTAAAAAATACAAAAGACAAGCCAATCTTATCTACAAAATAACCCAACTAGACCACCCTTTCGTTGTTAAGGGAAACGATAAATCACACCTAAATTCTTTAGGCCATCCTCGTTTGACCTAACATCCCTACACTCCCCACCTTGATACCAAAGTTCCCCATTTTGGGAGGCAGGAGCTTCATGGCCCACTAAATTAACAATGATAATACAGTTATCCTTTGGAATGATATTTTGCCACAGGAATAATGGGAAACCTGATCCCATTTGGTGCATTTCCTTGAACATGATCAAGTGGAAGAGGTACAGAAACAATAGAGAGGCTGGTATAATGTAAAGTTTAAAGGATAGAAATTGAATTACTCTCCAATTGCTTCTAAAAGAAGGCTGTCGTGTTCGTCCACAACAGAGAGGCTGGTATGAGTAGCAGTACTAGGCAGATCTGTATGGGAAATAACAGATCAAGAAAAAAAACCAAATCAAGAAAAAAACCAGATCATATATATATATATATATGTAACAGATCAAAAACCCCCCTATATACACTCACAGATGTATATATATATATATATGTGTGTGTGTGTGTGTGTGTGAAAACCCCCTATATCCGAAATCCCGACACAGAGAGAGAGAGAGAGAGATACCCTTTGAAATCGGCGGTGAGGGAAGATCGCCGGAGAGGGAGGAGTGGCTGTGAGGGGCGAGCAACCGTCAACGTCGTTTGTGAGAGAGAGAGAAAGAGGGAGGCAGCAGCGGCGGTAAGGGAGGAGGATCGGCGATGACGGATGATCGGCGCCGTCGTTGTGTGAAAGAGAGAGAGAGGAAGGCGAAACCCTAGATGGAGAGAAAGAGAGAGAGCGAGCAGGGAGAGGAGACGGCTCTGTTGTGTTTGTGTTGTGTGTGTGTTCTCAAACAAAACCCTACACACACCCACAAATGTTATAGTTAATGAATTTTTTATTAAAATAAAAAATTAATAAAATAATTTTTATAGTTGATGAATTCTTTTTTTTCATTTGGTAAAGTTAAAAATTTATTTGTTTTATATTTATTTTAATGAATAAAAAATTATTTTTTTTATTTGGTAAAAGTAGGAATAATATTTTCCATTAAAATAAAATTAATTTTTTGTGGTCAATGAAAAATATTTTTTTGTGACCCATTTTTTTTTTTTTTTACTAAAAATCAAGAACTAATTTTTTGTGGTAGAAGATAGGAAGTGGCAGTAGTGGTGAAAGTGGTGGATAAGAGGTGATAATGGTGGTGGTAGTGATGGTGAAGAAGATAAGTAGTGAAGTTGTGGTAGTAGTAGAGGAGATAGAATAATAGTGGTAGAGGAGAGGTAATGGTAGTAGTAGTGGTGGTAGTAGAGTAGTAGCGATGATGGATAAGAGAGAGAGAGACAGAGAGAGTCAAATAGACAGACAGAGAGAGAAGAGTGATGAATAAGAGAGAGAAAGAAAAGAGAGAGAAGAAGATGAAAAAATGGGTGAAAAGATATAGACAAAGAGAGAGAGACAGAGAGAGAGAAAAAAAAAGGAGCGAAAATAGATAAATAAGAGAGAGAGACAGAAAGGATGAGCGAGAGAGCGAGAGAGAAAAAAATAAGAGAGAGAAGAGAGACAGAGAGAGAAGATATATGAAAGAGATAGAGAGAAGAGAGATGGACGAGAGACATAGAGAAAAAGAAAGAGATAGACAGACAGATAGAGAAGAGTGAGAAAGAGAAGAGAAACAGAGACAGAAAGAGATGGACAGAAAGAGAAGAGTGATGAGAGAGAGAGAGAGAAGAGAGACAGAGACACATAGAGAAAAGAAGAGAGAGACAAACAGAGAAGAGTGATGAGTAAGAGAGAGAAAGAGAAGAGAGACAGAGAGATAGGAAGATGAAAAAATGGGTGAAAAGAGAAATGTTCAAAAGAGTAAGACGACATCGTTTGTAGTGGATCGATAAATCGAGAAGGAGCTCGATAAATAGAGAAGATGAGAGCAAGAAAGTGAGTAAGGCGAACATAGTGAGGGAGAGATAGACAAATAGACAAGTAGACAGAGAGAGAGAAAGAGAAGAGTGATGAGTGAGAGAGAGACAATGAAAGAGAGAGATAGACAGAAAAAGAGATAGAGAGAGATGGAGAGAGGGAGAGATAGAAAAAAGAGAGAAACAAGTGATGAGCGAAAGATAGACAAAAAAGAGAGAGAAATAGAGCGAAAAGAGATGAGCGAGAGAGAGACACAGAAAAAGAGAGAGACAGAGAGAGAAGAGAAATGAGCAAGAGAGATAGAAAGATAAGAGAGAGACAGAGAGAAAAGAAATGAGAGGGAAGAGAGATGAGCGAGAGAGATAGAGAGAGAAAACAGATGCGAGAGATAGAGAGAAGAGAGATAGGCGAGAGACACAGAGAGAAAATGAGAGAGAGAAACAAACAGACAGAGAAAGAAGAGTGAAAGAGATAAAGAGAAGAGAGAGAGAGATAGATAGAGACAGAGAGACAGCCACTTTGTCTCTTTCTCGCTCATCACTCAGTCTCTTTCTCTGTCTCTCTATCTCTTTTCTCTATTCGTCTCTTACTCATCTCTCTCTCTCACCACCCATCTTCTCTACCACATTTACCACTATTGCAAATGACATTCAACTACCACCACTCTTCTCTTTCTCTCTTTCACTCATCACTCTTCTTTCTCTGTCTGTTTGTCTATCTATCTGTTTGTCTGTGTGTCTTTCGTTCATCTTTCTTCTCTCTTTCTCTCTCCTTGGTCTTCTCTCTATGTCTTTCTCTCGCTCATCTCTCTTCTCTCTATCTCTCTCATCTCTTTTCTCTCTCTGTCTTTCTCGCTCATCTCTCTTTTCTCTCTCTCTGTCTCTCTCGCTCATCTCTTTTCTCTCTATCTCTCTATTTTTCTATTCTCTCTATCGTTCATCTCTTTACGCTCTCTTTTATTTGCGACGGCACACTTGCCGTCTCAAAAAGTCACTTTTTTGCGACGGCAGAAAATGCCGTCTCAAAAAAGTAGAGTATTTGCGACGACAGAAAATGCCGTCTCAAAAAAGCAGAGTATTTGCGACGGCACAATTTGCCGTCTCAAAAAATGAGAGTATTTGCGACGGCAGAAAATACCGTCGCAAATATCTCATTTTTTGAGACGGCAAATTGTGCCGTCGCAAATACTCTGCTTTTTTGAGACGGCATTTTCTGTCGTCGCAAATACTCTACTTTTTTGAGACGGCATTTTCTGCCGTCGCAAAAAAGTGACTTTTTGAGACGGCAAGTGTGCCGTCGCAAATAGTTCCATCTCATAAACCCACTTTTCTTGTAGTGTCTATTTTCTATTTGTTTGATTAATTAAAATGAAAATTAATTTTATAACTTATGGATAATGATTTGAATTTCATGTAACACCTTGAAATAAAAACAACTCAATCCATAATATTCAATAGTAAGCACAAGCTTGAGAAATGTTAACTTTCCATTGATATTTCCTGACCTTACAAAAGATGATATATGCGTGTATAAATTCATAAATTCTAAATTCTGAATCTCTAGCATGTGACATGTATAGGTGAATTAGAACATAAAAAGATTGTAGACGTCCCCGAACGTCCTGGGAAAATCCCGTTTTGTTCATTTGGGCTCACTACAGTTCGGACTCAATGTCACGGTTCTTAATCTGATCTCACAAAGTGCATGCAAGATCGATAAACACCAAAGAATCCAAATCCAACAAATCATTTTTGAAAAAATGATTTTTAGAAAAAGTTGTCAAAACATGGACTGCTTTTGCCAGATACAGAGTAGCCACCTAAATTTTTATTTGGGAGAATTTAGGAAACCACTCATGCCTAAGGCCACGTGTCCGTCATCACCAAATTGCCTCAGCTCGAGAACTTGGGTACGATTGGGAAGGTCATGCAAATGAGCACCCTCGCTCGCCCGATCAAAGATTGGCCACTACTAAACATGATATTTTGTTTTTGAAAATACATGTTCTTATTCCAGTTTATTAGCCTAGAATTACTATGTGATACGCAAGCATACAAGTATAGACTGGATCACCTAAGTTGGAACAAAACATCTCATGTTTGTTTTTGAAAGCGGTTTGCCTACTCGCAAGTAGGCTAAAATGCGGATTTTGCCACCCTCAAGTGGGCATTAGAAAAATATGGATGATTTGTCACTCTCAAGTGGGCTTAAAACTCGCAATCAATGAATTATTCCAATTCAAATAATCTAACTTCACCCATAGCCATTCAGGCAGTTATATCACATAAGCAAATAGCCTCATGGAAAACATGCTATCATGGCAACACTCACACTCATGCAAGATGCTAAAGCATAAACATCACCGAATACTCCGGAGCCAAAAACAGAAAACTAGTTATTTAATCAATGCATGATCCTAGTTCATATTAAGATGCTAAATGCAACACATGCGAAATGCAACTAAGATAGGCTCGGCTATTCTAAGATGGCATATGAGGTGCTACAGATAACACGTACTCAACTCGGAATTGAAATACAATGCAGTTAGTATGATGCGCCGAGCCCGATGCATGCAGGACAAATGAATGAATGCAAACATGCGGGCGCATAAGGATACTAATTGAAATAGCCTAAAACTAACCAATCATAAGCTAGTAAAAAAAAGGAGAAAGACGTTGGGGTTGGAAAAGACATGCATCACACACATGCACATTTATTACAACAGTGCCTCTCGACGGAGGGTCCGAAATAAATAATACAACACCAGAACTAGCTGATCTAAAGCTAATCTAATTAAGCTAGTTACTTACACAACCAAAATGAATAATAAATTTACGAGTAATTTTATTACATATACTCTAATTAATTAACAAACTAACTAAGTAAGCAATTTTAAAACTAGTATGAGCAAACTACAATGGAATGTGACTGTCTCAGCTCTGCCTTAATGATGAAGATGCATGCTCATGCTCAAGTCGCCTGTTGGAAATCGCGTTGGGCGACTGCCCCAACTCGCCTTTGGTTTGCAATTGATCTCAGAAACTTGCAAAGGCTCCAGAAGGCTAAACTCACCCATGGGAATCTGTGGAAGGCTGTTCGACCAGCTCTATTGGCCTTGAAGACGCACCTGCCGACACACTTTTGGTGGGAGAACCAAAAAGGGTGGGTCGGGCCTGGCCAGAAAAGCTGGTCGGTCTGACCAGTTCTGCCTGTCTGATTTTCGGTTTTCTGCAACAAGGAGCAAGAGAGGAGTGATGGCAAGTGTTATTGCAACACATGGTGTGCACGGACCACTTCCCTATCATTACTTAAGCTCAAGGGGCTGTTAGGCCCTCGACCCTCGGGCCATCAATCACGCATTCATCGATGCATGATGGTTGAGAGTCGAATTGCACGACTCAAATGTGAAAAATGAATGCACATAACAACGCACCTAAGCCAACAACTCCATCATGGGTAGTCCAGAGTGTCGGTTGACCGGGCAACGAGGCACGTTTCATCACTTCCGAGTATGAAAATGCCCTCGTTCTGTGTTTGGGCTAACTCATATCCCAAACACAATGCAACAAATAACATTGGCAGGGCATGGCCATGGCCATACACAAATGCGGCTCAAGCATGCAAACATGCAAATGCAACCTAAGCATGCAAATATGCAAGGGACATGATAAGCATACACAATGTCAATATGGAAGCAACATGACAACCTAAACAAGGCTATGGCGTGCACAATGCCACAATGCTGAATGCACACATACTCAACGCAGAGCAACACAAGCATGCAACAATATAAACAACAACTGAGCATTAACACATGCAATAGACATGGCAATACACAACGAATGAACCACATGCCATACACAATGGCTCGATGGACTTAAACCCCAAAATGGGCTGACCTCAGTTCAT